TATTTTCAGGTTGTTATACACTAATGAAAACATACCTATGAATATTATATTCCATTTCTGACAATAGAATTCCCTGAATGTTACACACTGGACCTTTAATACATGTCTGGAGGGGTCTTTTCCCCCTGAGGAGAGAACAACCTGTAGCCTTTAGGTAATGTCAGTCTGAGAAGTTGAAACTTGAAATGAATGAATTTCTGGCTCTTATTGAATTGGAATTTAAAATCAACTGGCATACAACACTTGTCTCTCTCTCACACACACAATGTAGAGCACACAGAATGCATAGAGCAGTAGACACACAACCAAGGAGAACTCCAGGTCTCGAGTCGGCAACAGTGTCCAGATGCCACGCAGCCCACCACATCTGCGATCCCATTGGTCAGCTCAGCTCTCATCATAAGCCTAGAGCGGTCTTGCTAAGCAGAGCTCAGAGACAACAGCGTCATGGTGCCACCCCAGAATATGGTGAAGCCCCCACATAGACCTCCAGAAGCCAGTCCAGTGTCAACATCAGCAGCATCACAAGTCTGGACAGGATGAAGCCTATCAGGGGTACCACCCCCAACCGGGCCAGAAACGGGCCTAGGAGGATGGGTGTCAGTTGGCTCAGGAACTTGTCATGTAGAAGCTGGACAGGGTGCTCTGCCAGCTGTCGGTCGATGTGGAGTTTGGAGCAGAGTCTCTGGTGGCGTTGACGCAGCATCCCTTCACTACCATCAGCAGAGCCGTCAAGAAGAGAGAATTCCTGAGCAACCAGTGGTTGAAGGCACCAGTGCAGTTTGCTGCCGTACATAGTGATGAGTGAGTGGGACTGAGACACAGGCATTGATATCTGCTTCTCTTCACTTCGGCACCATAGTGAACCACACCTCATCTGTCCTCTGAAGTGCTCCTACTGTCATCCGAATAATGAAGCCACTAATTATAAGAGGACACTTTATTTGTTGCTCACATCAAAAAATAAACTGAAAGCCCCCCTCCTGTAAGAAATCAGTGTCCCTTCCTGTCTTTACAGTGTGCTGTTTGAATGTTGTATGTGCAGAGTTTGACACTACAAGACACATTCATCTGCTGAAAGAGGAATGTTTCTCTGTGCTCATTAAGCACTCAAAATCAATTAATGCAAACTCATCCACTCCCTGTAAATTCTGTATGACCTTGCAATTTTGTCCAATCACTGCAACTTTGCCACAAATCGTAGTTTCCTGTGCAAAGTGCTGAGCCATACGTCACCAAACTCACTTCCTTGTTTCTAGTTGTGAAGGTGCAGACATTTGCGTGTCTGTCACACAAAAATATATAAAAACTTTTTTTTATATAAAAACATTTAAAAAGGTGAAATCAGGCATTTTAGGCAGCAGAATATATTCACTGAGAATGGTAAGTATAAGGATGCCCTCATCCCACTTCTTTTCAGACCAAATACTTACATATTGGTACTTGCAGATACCAAGTACCAATATGACTAACGAAACTCAACTCAACTAACGAAAGGTTATGCAACGTCACGCCGCTGATAATACGCGTGTAATGTGCTATACAGAGGTTTTACAAAGTAGGTTACATACGAACTCTCAAGTCAGAAATCTGATCGTTCCTCAATAGGGTGGAGGTTACCAAACATCTGTTTGATCAGAGAGACAAAGAGGGTCAGATCTGATTTACATACCTGCTTACTGAACCTGACAAAGGCCATGCATGCAATGATTTTTTTTTAATGCCGATCATTTTTGGGGTATTTTGGCTTTATCTGATAGAACAGCTGAAGGTTGCAAGGAAAGGGGAAGGGGGGGAAGGGGGGGGGGTATGACACTTGCTGCACCTATGGCCCCTACAGTAAGGACCAGGTGAGCTATAGGTGGTGCCCATTCTTGGCTTCCGTATGCGCTGCCGTCATGGTTATTTCAGATGTACCTCAATTCAGACACACAACAGACAGCCTGGTACAAACGGGCATCGCGGACTTTGAAAGACATTTAGGGACAACACCTAGTTTGGGTCAAGCTCATAAAAAGGCTGCACCTACGTTTCCCATCATGCCCCCCAAAGTATCTTTTCTTAGACCAAGGGTGGGTTTACTTTGTATATTGAGCCATCCCAACAGGTCAATCAAACTGTCAAATTAGCCAAGTTTATGAGTGCTCTCAATATGAAGCAGTCAAGGTTGTTTTTAAAGAACTAGATACATTTAATTGAAAATCAGTGGCTATACCTTATTTTCACACACGTGACCTCCATTCAACATGCTAGGACTCCTTAACTGTCAGAACTGTTTGTGTTAGGGATGTCAGTAAGATTTGGTTAGAACAGAGATATAAGTTATACAATCATCCATCTACATGAACATTGATTAACTTTTTAGAGTATCAGTACCAGCCATGAGAAACAGGTAATTATCAGTTATTGTATTGGCTGAAGAATCCATATTGTGAAGCCCTAATTGGTGTATTATTTCAGTTCTTTTGTATCATTTGAAATGACTAAACCACTGAATCTATGTGGTCAAAACACCAACATGATAAATGCTGGAGAGAATACTTTGTGAACTGTAGCCATTTGTTCCGTTTCAGCATCCATTAGATGTTAATGTGGTAGTTTTGTGAGCTGATCTCTGTATAGGATTGGATCTTTATTATGTCACATAGAGGCCTGAGATTACTTCCGTTACGATTTGACACTATACAAATGAAATTGAATTGAATAGTTAAGGGTCTGCAGAAGTGTACACCGATTGACTCAGACTTGTTCCAACATGGTTGTCATTTTCCACCCAATTAAAATATATGTGCTTACTTTGATGCAAACATTTTCGAGTGTGATACCTTCCATTCTACATCCGACATTTCAGTATTATCAAATACTAAAAAGGTTATTACCCTTTCCAGTTATTTAAGTGAAGGTTTATCATTTGCCATTTATTCTGTTTGATCAGATTTGATGTGTAATTGTATGCAAAAATTTGGGATAAACTGGTTATTTTGGTTATTATGAATGAGACTCACCTATCTTTGTCAGACATTTATAAAGTTACATGCTGCAGACTCAAGTCTAATATTACCTGTACCACAGACTAAGTCTGGATACAGTTGCCTAATGTAGCAATCCTGTGAAATAAATCAAAGCCATCACCACAGTCACTTTTGTAATCAAACCCACTTTTATTGGTAGTCTGGTCACAGAAACCTGTGGCAGTCCTAGTTGGCGTGCAGGGACTTCCAGCGGGTCAGAGGGCCTCTGCTGGGGATGTACTTCACCCCGCAGCCGTCTGAGATCAGACGCTTCTCAGCCATCATGTCGTCGAAGTCGCAGGCGTTGAACTTGGTGAAGCCATACTTCTTGGAAATATGAATCTGAAGATGAGAACATACGCAGAATATAAGGCCAAGAAGTACGATAAATCTGGAAAGGGCTGAATCGTGAAGCCCATTCAAACTGTCCTCAGTGTCCCTTTAAAGCACTTCAGCACCGTCCAGAATGAGACATAACACAACAACCAAGATTCACTCGTCTGCAGCCTTTGCAATGACCACCGGAACCACACTTCAGTGGACCGATCGGCTTAATAAGCTGCAGAATTGTGCCATGATAGCAATGGGGATGATACTAGATATTCTAATCCTTCAAAATAATTGACAATAAAAATACAATCCCAAGGTTTGAGTGTTGAGATGGGTGACGTGCTCGTTTACCTTCTGGCGTCCAGGGAACTTGAACTTGGCTCTGCGCAGAGCCTCAACCACGTGCTCCTTGTTCTGGGCCTTGGTACGAACAGACATGATCACCTGACCAATGTGCACACGGGCCACGGTGCCCTGGGGTTTACCAAAAGCACCACGCATTCCAGTCTGGAGCCTGACAACCAGAAGATGGAGATGTGGGTGAATATAAGAGGAAAACTCTTTAGGAATAACAGACTACAGTCATGATTTCTAAGTCATTTGTAATACAAATAAAAATAAAAATCCCTCTAGGCAAAATAACTGATTCTAAATTCCAAATAATCTTTTATTTTATTATTTTGACAACTCACTAGCCATTCAGCAATAATGATCTCGACTATGTCCATCAGATGCTGAAGCAACCACGTACACACAGACAGGTTCTCACCTATCAGCTCCAGCGCAGGATAACATTTTGTTGATGCGGATGACGTGGAAGGGATGCAGACGCATGCGGATGTGGAAACCATCCTTACCGCAGGTCTTCACCATGTACTTGTTAGCACAGATACGGGCAGCCTCCAGAGCTACAGTGGACAAATAACAAGAAAACTGACATGAGTGCCTCTGCTTCAGCTCGCACGAGAGGACAATCCAAGCATTAGTTTCTGATTAGCTTCAGTAGTGCACCCCTTTACACTTGCTTTTCATTATTGGGTTTTTGGCAAGTATATCCATCCATGGACGGATGCATTGTCCTCCAAAACCTTCCAACTATAATAAAATGGAGTTGCACATATACTGTATGGGGCTGCAAATATTGATTTTCATTGTCAATCATTTTTTTGATTAATTGATTAGTTTGGTCGATAAAAATGTTGATCACCAAGTGACGTAATCAAATCTGTTTTTTCCACAAACCAAAGATATTCAGTTTACTGTCATGGAAGACTAAACAATCTGAAAAATATTCACATTTCAGAAACTGAATCAGAGAATTTGTAAAGTTCTTCTTAAAGAAAAAAAAAAAAAAAAAAAAAAACTAAAAAAATACAATTATCAAAATAGTTGGAGAACAATTTAATACAGGTTTCAGGCCACATGTGGATGCATGTGTTGCATCATGGCTCCTTACCTTCTGAAGACAGCTGTTCGTACTCATCAGAGACCATGTGACCACACAGGGGGAACTCATCTACCTTGGCCTTCTTCCTGCCCAAGTCGAAGATCCTGATCTTGGGATCTGCATACGATGGATAGGAAGAAATTAAAAATGGACAGGAAAGCACAGCATTAAGAAAGTATTAATTAGCAGTGGATTGAGTTACCACTCAATGGACAATGCCATTTTGTCTCAGTGGTCCCTTAAAGCACTCAGCACCTCCCAGCTGAGGACATACACAACCAAAGAGTCACTGTCTGCAGCCTTTGCACACCGGAACCACACTTCAGCGAGACCAGTCGGCTTAATAAGCTGCAGCATCATCAACAGGAGGCTGTTGTGACTTACAAGTACTTTAAAGACAAAATGCTGTTGTGAAAAAATAAATAAAAACTGAAGGCACAAAAAAGGCAGCCGTCTTTCAAAACAGACACTTCTCAACCAGACTTCCTACATTTCCAGGAAAATATTCATGTTTAGTATGGAAACTGCTTACCAGGCACACCCCTGCAGAAGCGAGACTTGGGGTAGGGCTTGTTCTTGCAGTAACGGTAGCTGTGGAGACAAACAGTGTTAAATGTAACCACTTACCTATGCAAGTAAGTCGCTTTCACAGCTGCTGTAATACTATTTTATGGATTTAGAATTCTTGTCGTCATAAGGTCCAATTAAAAAGACAAACTAACTTAGTCTGACCCATTCTTGATGAACAGATGAAGTTGCATTTTTAAAGTGCCTCAATTACTTCTAAACATAACTGCTCACTGTAGTTTAACAACATTACTCAAACAGGAGGAAATTGTGCATTTGTTGAAGACTGTTTTCAGTGGCAGATTAATCCACATCTGATCCTCTTGTGAGCATTTGTGGCAGCAGGACATAGTCTGTGGGTTCAATCAAAATAAACTACAGTGTGTGTTCACGGTAAGGAAGGAACGTGTCACCCAGTGCAACAGTGTGACTCGATGTGCGATCAACAGTTGCTGGACAGGGTCCAAAATGAACACCCGCCAAGCATCAAATGCAGCTACGTTTTGGGTTTGGTGGAAAAATGTGGAATCACAGTAGGACAACGTTTACTATATCATTTTGTGTACTGGCTGGCTCGTAATAAAATCTGTCTCAGTGGTCCCTTAAAGC